ACTTTGGTTCTAGCAAAATTGGCTCAAGGATAACTAGGATAAGAACAAGTGGCTATAAATCAGCTTCAGGTAGTAGACGGTGGAATATTTTTACCAATTTTACTTACTGGACATGCGCCCGACATAGCAAATATTTGGGAAATTAAAGGGTAATATGTAAAAGAAACGGAAAATTTGTGAAATGTCTACTTTATTATTAAAGTAAATCGTACCGTTCTCATCCTGGAACTAACGAGGGGAAAGAGCACGGCAGAGAAACCCTCGATCTAACATTCCTCAAAAATCGAAACATACTGTGTCATTTTAATAATAAGTGTGAGTCATTAATTCAATAATTTAAGTCAATGAAAGTTTAAATTAGGTACCGCCCCTGTTCTTGTGCTAAAATTTCAATTACACACTCTGCATTCAATCAACACTACCTATATTCAATACTGAAGAGTTTTTTTGTTAGTTAGCCAGTTTCGCAGCAGGTACTGAGGTCCCATACGGGAAGCTACTCAGCTATAGTTGTTTTTGAGCCAATATCTCTAGATTGATTATTTCAATGTGTTAAGATATTCTCTCGTCAGGGTGGTAAAATGTTAGTAAATTCAACAAGGTCCTAATACACGCTCTAAATCTAAAAATCGGAATCCTAGCACAAAGAGACAGCACATAATTTTTCTAGGTTTTAATTTACTCTTTATCTGTGTTGTTTACAGCATGAAACGATTTTTGTTAAATACATGAACAATGCACATGTTATAAAAAAATGTTATAAGCAAACAAAAAAACATAAAAATGGAAAAAATGATACTTGTATTAATAATTGAACTCTCAAAAACAAAATAACAATTATTCAACTGACCTGTAATCGCTCCTTGACACACACACTAATAACAAGTTTGATTGAATAATCAATTTAATGCAAAATAAAAATAAAAATTAGATAATGAATAATTCCAGACACGCGTCTAAAGGGACCAGCCCAGCTTGTTCTCTAGTCTAATGCCTAATCGCTTCTTCTCTACCTCCCGTTCGGTTCGGTACTCTCGTTCTCCCTTCGTGGCGCAGTACATGGTTGCAATATTTACTTTTATTCAGTAAACGTTTTTTTAAAAAGTTAAGATATAAAGAAATAATATTTTAAATATGTGGTTTTCCTCAGTATCTTCCGTTTTTCATAAATATCGTAGAATGTAGCAAAGATAGAAAGGCATTACTAATTTGGGATAATTACTGCAACCATAGTATATCTCCTGATGGTCTAGATATTTGCAAGCAAATAGGACTGGTTTTATTAACAATTCCCCCAGTTACCTACATCGATTTCAGAGCCACATAGAGGTTGCGTGATATTGACTATTTGAGATACATTTTAATCAAATACGAATAGTTTCCAGGAGAAAAAGTCACAGTACAAGTTTTAACTGTGCAGAACCAGCAATTTTTGTTTTTGTGACTTGTAGGACTTCGAACGAATGGTACCACTTGCTGTTTGGATTCATACCGATTTGAAACGACAGATGCGCTGGCTTTCGTGTTTTAAATGGTTCAAGTCTGGGCTTGAGCACTCACTTGCAATAAACATTTTTTGAAAGGAATAGGCGCGTAACGCCCCGAAGCTGTTCCGGAGCTTCTCCTAGGTGTGAAAGGAATACAACTATTATCGTTGTCATTTAAAACTTCTTTCCTGAATTGGTAGGCTCGCTTGTGTTGCACTGGCGAGAGATAATGAATTCGAAACTTGTCTTCAGCCACCAAAGTATCCACTGAATGAGAAGTCGAAATTGTTTTACTCGTATTACATAATCTAGCAATCTAGCAGCGTTTAGACGCGACACACCTCATATTTTGGGGTAACGGCAGCGAAATTGTATACTTAACTTCACACTGAAAAGAAGATTTTGTGAACAAAACCATGCGTGATCAAACTATCAATTTGGAAGATATTGCATAGCTTGTTGGTTTCGCATATACCAGCAGGATTTCACTGCTCTCGACATTCAAAAGGCTTTAATCTACTCCTTCAACCGACCCTTTAAACACCATGACCATGAATTCCTCACTGCGAAGGTCAGCGATCGACATGAAACTTATCTATGAGAATGATGCACGATGGAATACCAACAACTCCTGATGATTGAGAATGCACACTGGAATATATTCCTGGATCTAACAAGACCCCCGAAAAAACAAAATCACTTTCTCGGGCCTCTCCGAGACAAGATACAGAGGTTCCCTGCAAAGACGAAAATTTTGATAATCACACCGAATATGGAAGAAATTGAGATTACACACGAACAATTAGAAGAGCAGAGGAACAAGAAAAATTTCAAGAGAAACTTCAGTCTTAACAATCAACTGGAACCATCACTATTAACAAAATTGTGAAGAAAAATAAACTAAAAAACTATTGAGGAAGACACTAAATCGGGATGTACTTTTTTTGTTCGACCCATCATCGACTGATAAAGTGATTGATATGGAAGACTAAATTATTAGAAAATTGAAAAATAGAATTCGTTACAGGGTTGGTGATTATCAAATGCAATATGAAAGAAAATCTTATCATCACATAAAATTGGTACGATTTGCGAAAAAAAAAATTGTTAGTAGGTAACTGAAAAATTTTCAGAAAAAATAGATCAAGAATAATTCATAAGTTTCATGCGACAGAAAAGACCTGGCTGTTTTACATATCCTGAAGTGGAAGATCTGGCTCCTTAGGAAGATTTTATGAAGGAAATTTTTAAAACCTATATTTATTCTGATTTTCTAGTTCAAATACTCAAGTGATAAGCTCTAGTGTCCTCCTTACAGTAGCATTCCTAATTGAAAGATTTTACGCGTTTTTAAACTCATACACTCTTACTGTTACACCCTAAAATATAGACCATGAGATAGGAACTGTTTAGTGGAGTCATTTTTTTTTTTCTGGCATTTTGAGGGCTAAATGTGACTAGTTTGCTGATGACTAATGGTGAGAATACCTATAGGTAGTTTTAATGCCTGCTCCCCGTTCGAAATGTCCACAGAATTTTCCGCGGAAAACTCGATTTTGAACTGTGATTACCGTCTAGCGATTTTTCAGAGTTATTTTCACAACAAAACCTTTTATTCCCTCGATTGCTAGAGAGAAAGTAAATGCGGTACTAGACTTTTCTCTTGCAAGTTGACACCCATCCTCACTTTTTCAGCCATTGAAAAGCATATTTTATGGGTGAACAAAATCAATGTCAATTTTTTATTCAAAAGCCAGACAATTTAAGATTATTGAAAAAAAAATTCTTCACATAAATTTTTATTTTTTAATTTTTTTCTCCAAGTTTTCGAACGGGGGGAAGGCAATAAAATCACCCATATTCTCATCAGCTAACTAGCCACATCCAGCTCTCAAAATGACAGACAAAAAAAAGTTACTTCACTGTATAGTCCCTATCTCACGTTCTAATAGGGATTTCGGATAGCGAGGATTTCGCTTATAATACGAGCACTGCCTTTCTACTTTTCTACTGATTTCAAATATATTTGCAATTTTTCTCAAATTTCAGTTGATGGCTGCGCGCAAATTCAAAATTGAAAAAAAATATACTACAACGCTTATCTCATTTATTTAAATTATAAGTCAATAATTAAAGTTGTGACAAGAAGAATGACGAGAGTATTTTAATTTCTAACTGGACGGTGCATAACCTGTTGATATACTGTTCACTCGGTGAAATTATGGGGAGGGCGCGCTAGCTAACACGGGCTCTTTTTTGGGGCATTTGCACGCTTCTTCTTGTCCAAATTAAATGTATAATTAACCCCAAACTTTAAATTTATTCCAGTTTTTTTTCAGGCACGAAAAAAACGACTTCGAGTGGTTCATAAATGGAGAAATTTGCCTAATTAAGGCGTTTTTCAGAAGAACTTCGGAAAAGTTTTTGAGATCTGGTTATTTTGTATTCAATAAATACAGATTTATTCAAACTTCGGACATAGGTACTGAGGTGCTATTTTTGAGAAATGTAGGTATACATTTATTGTTCAAAAAAAAAACAAACACAAGATGACACTAAGTATAACTAAAAATTGATGAGGAGCAATAAAATTTCCCGTTATCATGCATACGAAACAGGGCACAATAATAAAACTTTCCTCTCCTCCACTTTCGTTGGATAAGTCGAGTCGTGGCTCGTTTGAGTCGTTTCCATTCCCCTCTCTTTGAGTGCTCTTCCATAAAAAAAATCCTAATTTGAATCCCCTGCGATGACAATTGAAGTCAATTTATTCTTCAAACTTTGCATTTATTCCGGTGGTTTTCAAATTGTATGGAATAAAGACGAATATAGAATGCGTGAGCAAAGACAAAGACATAATGATTATCTGCTTCATTTAAGTAAATAGTAGTTATGTACTTATATAAACAACTCATTTTATTGTCCCAAAATCTTTGTATCCTTATTCGGTTCTCTTTAGGTACTTTTCAAATTGGTGTTTTTGTCTTTGGAACACAAAAAATTATGACTATCAAAGGCATTCTTTGCGCAGCACTAGTAGTTAATACCTACTAAGGTAATCCATATTTTTTTAAGAAGTATGGGCATGAGTTTGGCGAAGCTATGATTAATTGGGCTTTTGGCATCCCACTATCACCAACATAATATTATCATACTTGATTTGCATACTGAGTGCTTTCATCAATAGTACCTAATATCTTCCAGGCATACTAGTAGATTATAAAAAAAAATTGGTTGTTCATCACGAAGTCACATTATTAATGTATTAATTGCCCTTTATTCATTCTATAATCTGATACTTTAGGTATGAACCCTTACAAAATGCAATTATTAAGAAAGGATTACCATTGATTTATTGAATTTTTATACTCCTATTTTTTACTGAATTACTCGAAGGATTTATGCCTTTAAACCCAATACAAACACATTGGAGCCTAATAAAAACGTTTTAAAAAAAATGTACCTATATATATATAAGTATAAACCACAAACGCATAGGCACGTAAACTCAAATATGTTTCGTGCAAAACTTTTTGTTTCGCTTTTCTTCATAGCTACAATTTTTTTACCAAGCTTTGCAAATATTTCCAATTTTACGCAATTTTACAATGAAGTCTTGCAATGGACAGCTCCAAGTGAATCTTATAAAATGCCAGTCAATAACAATGAATACTTTAAAAATACAGAGAAAACTAATGAGACTCTAGGTAAGTCAGTATTTATGAACTTTTACTTCGGTATAAGCCCTCCAAAGAACGAATTTTAAAATAAAATATGATTTCCAGATTACGGAACTTTCGATTTTATCATAGTAGGTGCTGGCACTGCAGGTGGTGTAATGGCTAATAGGTTAACAGAAGAAAATTTTAGGGTTTTACTAGTCGAAGCAGGAAGTGCTGATCCAAATACTGCATCTGTTTGTGGTCTTGCCCCATATTTCTTAAAATCTAAATACAATTGGGGCTATAATACTGTCCCACAAAAAAAATCTTGTCTGGGTAATGTAATTAACTTACTTAGCCTTCAAAACACATTTTGATTTTTTTATTGGTTCCTAGCTTGTATTGATCAACAATGTATATATCCAAGAGGAAAAATGTTGGGTGGTACAAGTTCTATGGGAGGAGGAATGTACGTTCGAGGTAACCCCTTAGATTTCGACTTATGGAAGGAACTAGGCAACAGTGGCTGGTCTTATCAAGATGTTTTACCTTATTTTAAGAAGGCTGAAAAAGCCGCATTCAAATCAAATACTGATATCGAATATCGTGGATATTCAGGACCCCAAGTTGTAGATACCGTTGAGGACACACCCGGATTGGTAGGTAATAGGTACTTGAGGAAATCAAAATGAAAAAACAAAAATTTCAGACCGAAATGTTATTTCAAGCATTTGAAGAGCTTGGTGATATTCCACGTGATTACAATGGAGTAAATCAGTTGGGTATTGGCAGAGTTCAGATAAATATAAATAAAAATGTTCGGTCGAATACTGCGCACGCTTATATTGCACCAGCCAAAAGTCGCTCCAATCTTTTCTTAACCTTGGATTCTCTGGTTACACAAGTTATTACCCAGAACGACAGAGCTAAAGGAGTTCAGTTTGTTAAAAATGGTCAGTTTTATTATGCCAGTGCTTCCAAAGAAGTAATACTTTCTGCTGGTGCTTTAAACACTCCACAAATATTGATGCTATCTGGTATTGGACCAAAAGACCAGTTGGAAAAACACAAAATTCAAGTTGTTAGGGACTTGCCAGTGGGAAGGTTCTTGAGAGATCTTGTATGTTATCCCGGATTAATTTTCAGGTAATTACAAGCTCAAAATATTATTTTAAATTCGCACTAAAAGTAATTATTTCAGAACAAATAAAATGTTTTATGAACTAACGCTTGAAGAACAACTTAAACTTTGGTATGATGGTAAAAGACCTTTAGCCAGTGGATGGGGTCTTCAATTGGTCACATATCATAGTCTTATGAATAGTTCCAACGACAGACCAAATTTTGAAATATTTGTTCTTGGACCTCCAGCTATAAGTCGCCACTTAGGAGCTAGTTTGCAGTGAGTTTGTTATTCTTTTTTTGCTGCATTCCTATCTTCTGATGTATAACTTTCAAGCTTTTCTGAGGAATACATCGCCGCTTTATTTTCGAATCTGAACAAATATAGTGACTTTTTAATTACTATAGCATTACTGCATCCTAATTCAACAGGAGAAGTAAGGCTTAAGTCAAATAATCCAAAAGATTTTCCTATAATAGATACAAATTTTTTTGGTGAAGAATCTGATCTCGAAATTCTGTACCAAGGAATACAAAGATTGATAAAGATCAAAGACACAAAAGCTTTTAGAAGCTTTAAGGCAGAACTTTTGTCGTATCCTATGCCAGGCTGTGACGAAATTTATGAAAGTGGTTCTAGGGATTGGTGGTATTGTAGTATTAGACATTTTGCCCTTTCAGTAAGTAGAATAAAAGTTTAGTTCTACCCCAGTGTAAAATTTAAATTTATCTTGCAGGACTGGCAACCTGTAGGCACAGCCAAAATGGGGACAAGTACCAAAGATTCAGTGGTTAACCCGGAACTTAAAGTTCATGGAATTCAAGGACTTAGAGTCGTTGATTGTAGTATTATGCCGACCCACATTTCTGGTCATACCATTGGAGCTGTCGTGATGATTGCAGAGAAAGCTTCAGACCTAATTAAAGCTGAATACAAATGAAATTAAAAACATACAACATGAAATTGTAACTCTTTTTACACAATCAAATTCTGAAAATAAATTTTATTTTTTTAATGACATTTCAACTTGTTTGAGAATCCCCTGTTGCTGCCGGATTTTGATCAAACTTTTTATCTTGCAAAAATTGACCACAAATCGAAACGTCACGAATGTGTAAGCTCTATAAACAGATGAGAGTCGATGCGCGTCGACAACCACAACAGCAAAAGGCAACGTTTTACTTTTTCACTCCATAAATCAAGTTTCAAGTCCGAAACTAAAAGTGACAAGAGAAAAACCATACCATAGGAATCCGATTCCCCCTGTTATATTAATCTCTTTGCTTGATAGGATGACACATTTCATTTGACACATGAGAGCATCAATAGCTTAGTTCATTTTTAGTGGTAGGTACGCTACGTTTTAGAATATTTATTTTTATAATTTGTGAATCTTGATATTATGTTTTTTCCTTTCATGACAAATAATTATATTTATATGTAAGCGCAGAGTTTAATTTGTGCGCCATTTTTCTCCGCAAGGTTCTAAGCATTATGAGGTTACATTTTGGTGTAAATACAATGTGGCTACACATAATAGAAAAACTGATCAAAGAATTACCATGCAACGAATTTTGGCGAAGAAAATGTATCTGCACCCTTTCAAGTCAAATTCAAAGAGTTATAGCCTGAGTAGGCGTGCGGTGCACCCCGCTTAGAAAACGAAAAAACAATAAGGTCGGGGCACCGCATGAAACAGATTTAAATCGAAAACATACACCTTTTGTCAAAGTTTACCCAATTTTACACTTGCGAAACAAAGGATTGATAAAAAGTTGTTGAGACAAGTTTCAAAAATTCACCGATGTCTCACCCATTGAATGACATTTTGAACTAAAACTTTATCATAATGAACCTCAGACTGTGCACTGAAAGAGAGGATTGGTTAGAGGTTCTAAATTTATTTATTACAACCTGGCATGGCGGATTTTAAAATAACGTTCACGGTGCACATAGCAAATGAAATACATCTCATTGACAAAGCTGACAAAAAAAAAGGTTTACAACAATCAAAATGTAGGTTGAAAACAAAAAAATTCCAAAAACACAAAAGGAATATAAATGTTATCACAGTCCAATTAAAATCTAGGTATAGTTGTTTCAAGTGGTTATTCACTATTAAACAACATCAAATAAAGGTATAAAAATGTAGAGTAGTAGAGTAAAAATCAAACGAGAAGAAGCCACACGCGTTATCGTTTGTCTCACTTTAAATGGGAGGGACCCAGAGAAAAAGAAACCTGCGTTATTTGTCAGCGCTGACGACAGTGGCTTCTTCTCGTTTGATTCTTACTCTAGAGATGAGCTCAATTTAATAAATCTTCAAAAAATTCAGTCATGCCATATTAGGCCCTTGAAGTCTCCGACCACACTGGAGCTAAGTCAGATTTTTGTACAAAATACTTTTTGTACTTGCGCAGAAGACGGTATCGGCAAATCAATATTATCGATGTGTCGTGTGTAGCTAGATGATGAATTATGATGACCCATTTGTTTTTATGTCTCAAATAAGTACAGCAAACAGCCCATAAGGAGAACAAGCAAGGCAGTGTAATAATTTTATGCCACTCAAAAAATACCCTGCAAGACACTCCAGGTTCCAGCCCGAATATATCTAAAAGTCCTCTTTTGCAACAAGGAAAAGCTGTCAAAACGATAGTATTTTAGCGACCAGTAAACATCATACTACACATACTACGATTCACGATTCATACCCAAATGACAGGTGGAGTATATTTGATAAAGGGTCTAAAAGAGGACGTCATGATCGTTGCTTATTTGGGTTTGTTGAATTTTGCAAAACTTTGCGTTTTCGAGTTTCATTATTATTTCTCTAGTGAAATTTTTCGATAGATTGTGTAATTTTTGAATTTCATGGGGACCCCATGCCCAAAAAAAAAACATAAAATTGAACTTTGGCAAAATGGGGAAAAACAATCATCAATCATCTATTTATGATGGAAAGAACTGTGTCGGTAATCGTAGTAAGCTATTTGGCCCTTGCTCATTTTTGTGTATTAGAAAAAGATTCACTGACATACTTACCTACTAAAACTAGTAACTATCCCTCGTGGTTAAATGTTTACAGCCGAGTTTTACGTTGTGACTTCATAGTATGTCAGCCATAATCGCTAAAATGTACTTAGTATCTCAAGTAAACACAACATACTACTGGTTTAAAATTCTCGCTAAAATACGCCTAAAGTACGTAATTTGGTCAAGGACCCTCACAGTTCCGCAGAGATCACCATATAGCAAAACAAGCAGAGGCGAGCTTCTTTCTGAGATAACCAATGTGTTTTTCAAACTTTAATTTATTATTCACGAACAATCCCAGAAATCTACTCTTCATCTGCTCATTCACAGGCTGACCCGTCAGTGCAATGGTGCTGCATTGGTTGCTTAATTGAGGGACAGACAATTGGCATCTGTCCAGTACTTGATGATGGTTCCCTTAATATTGACCCGAGTCAGATCATTGACGGTATAACAAAAAAAAACAATAGACCCAACATGGATCCTTGAGGAAATACCACAGGACACCTGCAGTTATTTGAAGCATCATCCATTCAATTTCGCACACTTAAAACGATACTTCAAATATGACTCAAACCAGGTCAGGAAAATAACTCTGATGCCATGCGCCTCAATTTTCCACAGCAGTATCCCGTGATTCACGCAGTCAAGCGACACAGAACATTGCCGCTACAACCTCACCTTCATTAAAACTTAAGAAGAAAGTTTCTCTAGAAATGAGAGAAAATAGCATCATCAGTACAAAAGGATCCTCTGAAACCAAACTAGCACTCGCTCAAAACACCATCATAAAGAGAAACGATTGCAGCCGGTTCTTCACACGGGGTTCAATCATCTATGACAAGACCGGACAAGGATATTAATGTCCATTTTAAATTATTATTCATGGCATAATTATCAAATTTATTTAGATATTAATTCGGAGGATTATTAATTTGTCCAAAAGATAGTAGAAATAAATACAAAGTTAATATTTATTTTTGCCTTGAGCTCGAGGGCAGGAAGAATAGCACCTTCTGCTCCTCTAATATAGTAATATCGCAGGCTTTTCGCCCTCAGCCCCAAATCTAACCCCAGTCGAATCGCTGTTTATTCAAACAGCTGCGGCCGAGGTGCGAATAAGCACCGGCACCGGTGAAGTTTTTGTCCGTGGCCGTTTGGTAAACAAATTACCGTTCAGATAAAAGTTCTCCAACGCAAATCCCTTTATCGCAACCAATGAATAATGCGATGAGAAAGAAAAGAAGGAGCAGCCACAGTCCGTCGGATATAGCTTGTTTTGACACGTCTGTGTTTTTGTTACATGCCTTAACCATTATAGGGAAATTCCCGGCCAGCACCACATTAATCTTTGATTTCCGTCAAAAGGCTGTTAGTGAACTAAGCCCCATTAAATTAATTGATCGGATTCGCGAAAATCTCTTCTCCAGGTCCATTTTTTAAAGCGGCAGTTTGACGACTGAATTAATGAATTTCAATTTTACTAGGGGCTGGTGCCGGTGAGCAACTTTTATCTACACGTTTCACTTTGGACTTAGAATGTGCATCTACTCTATAGCATCATAAACGATAATCGCTCCGCTAGGAAGGAATAAAACTGATGAACAAAGAAAATCGATGTTTACAGGGAACGTGAAAGAGGTTGAAAAAACCCTAAAATCAATCTTATAAGTTCAAGGTTTTCGTCAGATATGTGATACTTGAAAAAAAATCCAGATTGTTCGACGAAAAATCGCAGTCGAGAGCCTAGACTTGCAGCCACCTACATATGGGTCAGACAAGTTGAAACGTTGACTTTTGTTTCTTATTCTTTCAGGAATAGAACCGACCAAAATAACGAATGTAATAGCAAGCTTTATATCTGGTATAAAAAAAATATAACTATTTCGTCAGTCGGTTAGTAGTAATGTATAGGTACAATGTTGGAAGTAGTTCAAAGAAAAGTACCGACCGTTGCTCAGTTACCATCGTCAGGCTACGCGGAAGGATGTTACTCAATCTTCCACGTGCTATTTGGGAGGCTTTATTATTTTATTAGGCAAAAGTGATTACCGGCATATTTGTTTGCTTAATGAACACTTGATGCCTGCGGTCAATGATGTTTCGCATGCTACACATTTCATTTTTGTTTGTTGGGAACTATTTAAAGCGTTTTTTTGTTTCTTTAGCAGGTTCCATTACACAATCGAACTTTCTTCAGTCATTTTAATTTCAATTATTTTATGCCTTCATTGATATGGTTTACAATAATTCAAGCAGCGCAGTGTTATATGATGTTTAGCTTTTTCAGTTTGACACTTTCCATATAAGGATCGAAGGGAGCACAGCAAAAACAGGGGTGAGATCAGGTGACTATTGGCGTGCTAACGTAGGGAGCCATCAACTCACATTTCTTTGGAGTATCAGATCATAAAAGGACTGTACACACAAAGAACTTTTGGTATATCCAAAGAATATCGTCTTTGAACTGCAATAATCAGAAAGTAAATTCCTAGGTAAAACTCATCATCTACAACAGATCGACAGAGGATTTATGAGTGGAATCAGTGGCCGACTGATTTTTTTTAATCTACCTAATTCTAGTTCATACAGTGAGAATACATGAAAATATGCTTTTATGTCTTAACTTATGAAACACTAGTAAAAATCGTGAATGATACCGTATTGATAAGTTCCTTTGATCTATACCCAATTCTGTTTTATTGCCACAGAGTCACAGTCGTCATCTAAGTTAATAACAATGCGCTGTTAATTATTTTTTATAAAAATATACACAGGGTGACAATTAGGAGAATAGCAATCGGGAATATCTCTTAGACAAAAAAATACTATCGGGAAGATCTCAAATACGTATCGGGGGATTGGAGGTGGAACTAAAATGAGGCACTTTTTGAGTCACCCCGCCTCACCGCTTAGGGGGTAGCTACCCTAACTTATTTCTTTTAAATAAGAACCTACCTTGTGTTGCACATCGCTCGATAGCC